GGCCATGCTAACTATGTAGGGGCAATGATGGCCATGCTAACTATGTAGGGGCAGTGATAGCCATGCTAACTATGTAGGGGCAGTGATAGCCATGCTAACTATGTAGGGGCAGTGATAGCCATGCTAACTATGTAGGGGCAGTGATAGCCATGTCAGTCCAGGGACTGACTGCAGTTCTACTGTAAGGTACAGTACCTTGGTCAAGGTCACTGACCAGCGCACCTGACATGTAATAACCATACCATGCATATTGCTTTAGGTATACTTCGGAAAAAAAAAAAAAAAAGAACTGGACTACTGGTCTTTGGTGATTACATCCACTTGATAAATTCTCAAATAGTTGATTTAAAATTTAATTATAACCATTTTGGTTTGGAGTCTTTAACCCTTTATAGGGCACTCGGTGAAATCCACATTTCCAGCCAATAGTGTTATTGGAATCAAGTACAAGACCTTATTACCTTTGAAACATTAAAAAATATGGATATTTTAATGGCAAAAAAATGAATGTCAATGTAATAACAAGAAACGCAAACCTGTCCACATATATTATGAAAAATAACAAAAGTTCTTCTTAAGAAATTCATTGAAACACAATTTTTTTTTTGGTCCAGCATAACCTTAGAGGCATTAATGCTGATATTGGTGCTTCCATTTTTTAGTTTATACACCTAAATATAGTTGTTAACTAGTAGGCTTATTAACTTTTTGACTTTACTCTTCAACTTTTCAACTAGCTTTTTACCTTTTTTTTTCTTGACTTGTTAACTTTTTGGTTCCAACTTAATTTCCAGTAGGTAATATATCATCTAATTGGTCAAATGCCAAAATAAGTTGTACATTCATGTAGCAGGATCTTGGCTGAGCGGCTGGATATAGATCTTGTGCTTCTAGACCTCACTGAGGGACGGGGGAGACTCCATTTGTAAGGTGTATGCAAGTGATCACTAAAGGTCATGACACTGAAATGATAAAAAGTGAAGAATAAAACGGGCTGAATGGTCCCTGCAGGGGCCCCTGTGATGCATCACTCACTTGATATGCTGAAGTCAGTTAGCTCAGAGCGAGTCAGAATATATATTTAAAGGCTCTTCTCTTCTCCTCTGTTTAAAAAACCAATTAGTTTTTTCATTTAAAGGAAGATAGCTTTAGGTTATTTCCAGTAAAGGACCCAATAAAAGCATCTTTTTCAGAATAAACAGCCTGAAAGAGAATCAGAGAAAGCAGCGGCTCCTCCTCCGAACACCTGCTGTTCCTGCTTGGACATAGTGAAATTTAGGACATGATTCTTGCTGCGTGCAGCTGTTCCTCACAGCCTGCCCGTCTCCAAGGTCATATTTACTCTGCAGGCCACAACAAGACTGAGAACGCTATGATGATTGAGGCCCTGAAGTGCTCTTGAGCAACACTCAGTGACTAGGAAAGGTCTTACCTTTGAAGAGCTGGTACATCCCAGGTATGATGATGGTGGCGATGGCCACCAACTTGCTGATGGTGAGGATGATCTGGATCCTGGCCGTCCAGGTGACGCTCATACTGTTCAGGTAAACAACAGAAGCTGCAGAGAGGGACGAATCCGTCAGTGTTCCTCCTCAGACCAACAGCTGACCATCATTTCTGACCGGATTTACAAACGTATCATCAGAAACGCATCATTCTAGCTAAAACTGCCACTGTTTCTGTGTCTGAACCTGGATTGAAGAAAAGACTTAAAGAATACGTTCATTTTTAGAATAATGTTGATGAGAACAGTTTTAAAAACATTAAAACGTTCTCACAGTCACGGTAAAAACAGAGGAGACTCTTTATCAGTCCCTGTTAGCGTCTCTGTCTCACCTCAAGGTAACAAAGTCAGGCAAAGATGATTATTTAACAAACAGCATCAGCACAGAAACACGCTGTTGCTGTTTCCATGGCAGCCAGCTGATTGCATTTTTTTATCAGTACATTCCCAGAAATTAAGGAACGAATTCAGGGTTAGTGGTTTTGGGTGCTGCAGTTTTCTCTACACTAAGGGAACGGTTTATTTCTAAAGGGGGACAAAAGTGTGGAAAACCAAACATCCAATCAGCAGACAGCACATAAACCAGGTGACATGCAGGTAGGTGGAAGGGCTAATTTCTTCCCTCCATCACCCAGTGTGATCATCACTCCTGTATATTAGAATATTCTGAAGGGAAATCTGAGACATTTGTCTCGGAGAGAAAACTGAACCTTACAACGCAAACATGATCCCAAACAGCAGAATCACTGCAGGGTTTTACAGTGGCCTAATCAAACAACAGACCTCTGAAAAATTTAGATGCTCAGACTGTCAGCAATTTGTTACTTCTATTGTAATTCTTTACTATCAGGAAGTCCACAAACTCTCGCATCCTGGAGAGAAATATCAGCTGTGCTGCTGCCATCAACACCTTTGT